TCTCCTGTCACTTTTTAAATGGGAATAGATGAACTACAAATCCCGAGAGCCTTAGCGGCTCTCAGCTTGTAGTTTTCAATGACACAGCAGTCACAGGATTGCGTCACTGGACGCCTTGGTGCCCATGTGCTCAGCGATGTACAGGTACTGAGCCAGTAGCTGCTGCCCGCTCACTGTACCTTACCTGTGAGTGGGTTGGCAAGTATTTAACCCCTTCACACCAACCTAAAACAAATATGCGGCCTCACAGAACTGTTTTTTTTCCCGTGGGGCCGCATATTTGCGTACCTGTCTGTCTGTTTGGAGTGCGCCGCACGGACTCCCGATTCTGGGTCACATGATCGCTGTGATAGCCTCTAATTGGCCATCACAGTGATCAGTCACTGTACAGCCCGGCCCCCCCTTTTGTTTTTCTCTCTATGAATGGAGAAGAGAGATACATTGTATATCTCTAACTCCTGGCATAGAGGGAAAAAAATGTTTGTAAGGAAAAATAAAAAAGATGAATAAATATTAGAAAATAAAATATAAAGAAATAATACCTAGATCAAATTTTGATCTAGTTCAGTGCCAGGGTAAGTGTTTGGGTCAAGGTCAGAGTCAAAGGTCAAGCTCAAAAGGTCAGTGTCAAAGGTCAGGATTTAAAAAAAAAATTGGTGTCAGTATGTTTTAGTTAAAAAAAGACAAAAAACAAAATGTGCACTATTGTTTCTGGACTGTACTACGGGTACAAACAACAAACACATATATGGTATCGTCAAGAGCTGGAGAATTTATTTTGGGTTGTTCTTTGGTCGTAATTTTTATTTATCGCAAGAAGCTGGAGTTAAGCTATAGAGACTGATTTTCCCAAACTGGAGAGTGCAAAATCTTGTGCCGCCCTGCATAGAAACCAATCGGCTTCTATGCGATCCAGTCAAAGCTTAATTGAGCTTTAACCAGTTGCCGACCGCAGAAAGCCGAATGACGGCTACACTGAGGCCGGCCAGTTCTGGGAGGGCATCATATGATTTCCTCCCAGAATGCGCTCTCCCGCGCGCACCCGGCGATCTCCGTGATCGTTGTGTCCTACGGATTGTTGTGTCCTATGTGGTAAAAGGCCAATCACATCGGCCTTTTACCACGTGATCAGCCATGTCCAATGACACGCTGATCACAGGGAAATGCAATTGCCGGTTCTCGGCTGCACTTTCCTAATGCTGCCAGATCGTGAGGAAAGTACTGCCGAGAACCGGCAGTTGTCAGAGCAGGGATCAGCACCGATCATCAGGGCAGTGATGATCAGTGCTCTGATGATCGGTGCCCAGCAGTGCCACCCACCAGTTCTGCCCACCTGTGCCCAGCAGTGCAACCACCTGTGCCCCCAGCAGTGCCCATCCAGAAGTGCCACCTACCTGTGCCCAGCAGTGCCACCCACTTGTGCCCACCCACCTGTGCCCACCAGTGCCACCCACGGTTGTGCCACCAGTGCTGCTAGTCAGTGCACCAGTCAGTGCACAGCGGTTGTTCCAGTCAATGCCTAGCAGTGCCGCCAGTCAGCGCCCAGCAGTGCCGCCAGTCAGCGCCCAGCAGTGCCGCCAGTCAGCGCCCAGCAGTGCCGCCAGTCAGCGCCCAGCAGTGCCGCCAGTCAGCGCCCAGCAGTGCCGCCAGTCAGCGCCCAGCAGTGCCGCCAGTCAGCGCCCAGCAGTGCCGCCAGTCAGCGCCCAGCAGTGCCGCCAGTCAGCGCCCAGCAGTGCCGCCAGTCAGCGCCCAGCAGTGCCGCCAGTCAGCGCCCAGCAGTGCCGCCAGTCAGCGCCCAGCAGTGCCGCCAGTCAGCGCCCAGCAGTGATGCCAGTCAGCGCCCAGCAGTGATGCCAGTCAGCGCCCAGCAGTGATGCCAGTCAGCGCCCAGCAGTGATGCCAGTCAGCGCCCAGCAGTGATGCCAGTCAGCGCCCAGCAGTGATGCCAGTCAGTGCCACCTATCAGTACCCATCATCAGTGCCGCCTATCACTGCCACCTCATTAGTGCTGCCTATCAGTGCCCTTCAGTGCTGCCTATCAGTGCTCATCAGTGTTGCTTATCAGTGCCGCCTCATCAACGCACATCAGTGAAGGAGAAAAATTACCCGTTTCCAAAATTTTATAATAGAAACAAAGAAATTTTTTTTTTTCAAATTTTTTGCACTTTTTTTGTTTATAGCACAAAAAGTAAAAACACCCAGCGACAAGTAAATACCACCAAAAGAAAGCTCTATTTGTGAGAAAAAAAATGTAAACATTTCATATTGGTACAATCTTGCATAACTGCGCAATTGTCAATCAAAGTGCGACAGCGCTGAAAGCTGAAAATTGGCCTGGTAAAGAAGGGGGTATAAGTGCCTGGTAGGCAAGTGGTTAATTGAATAAACCCAAACAAATGTTGAGTCAGGGACCTTAGAAAGTGTAAGCTACTTGAGGGCAGGGGCTGATGTGAATGTACAATATATATCTGTAAAGAACTGCACAAATTGTCAGCTATATATGAATACCTGTAATAAATATATAAAATGTATTCTGACTTATCGTTATATGAATGAACTCTATTTTTGCTCAAATATTCTGTTTTCTGATTAATGAATCAACCAAAGAAATTAGGCCCAGTGGCTTTGAAAAAAAAAAAAAAAAAAAAATTAAAAACAGACTGAAGCACCTGTACTTAAATGATAGGTTCACCTTTTGGAACATGTTACACCCGTATTTAATCAATATTCAGCTGGTGTCACATTAAAAATCATCCGAGCCCTACACAACCACATCATTCATTCACAGTAATCTCTGAGCCAATTCACACTGCAAATGCAGAGCGGCAGGAGCGATTCACCACCTGGCTGCTCTGTGTTGCCGGCTGCACTAGGGGTAGTATGGTGCGCGGTTCAGCGCATTGCACGGCTCATTTTATTTAGTACAAACTATAAGTGTACAAAATGCATCATTTGCTGCAATGTCAGGCACATTGCAGTGCAATTTGGCCCGGTGTGCTGCGATAAAATGCAGCATGTCTACATTTTACCGCAGCATCTTGCAGCGCTACGCAATGCTGCAGTGTGAACGGGACATATTGAAAACAATTGTCCTGTGTCCTTGCAATGACAGACATTTTACCATGTGGTAAAACATCTGTCACTGCATATAGCACAAACTGGCACTGAATAAAGTGCTCATGTGTTCCACTGCTACCTGCACATTTTTTTTTCCATTTAATCAGATTGTGCACTTTGATTAAAGGATACTGTAAACAAGTGATCAGCTTCCTTCATGGCAGTATTTCCTGAACCTGAAAGACTGTCTAATTTAGGACTAGATAAGTTCACTGATGATTTTCTGCAAGAGTGCATGCATTGGATTTAAGAAGTTTATATTTGACCAAAGGGGATACCCTGCCAAAATTTCGAAAAGGTATGGGCTCATTGGATGGCTCAATCTGGTGCTTACGATCTATCACCTATACGACCATGGGTGGTCGATCCTCCTCAAAGGGTCGACTCTTCTGATACCCCATGTTTATATTGATGAAGCAGAAAAGCTTTTTTTTTTTTCTTGAATGCTCATTATGACAGTTGCATTTTGTTACGACTCCTTGAAAGGAGCCTATTTGCCACACACAGTGATGGGATGCTTGCCATATTTTTCCAGTTATGATCTTCCCCCCTTTATCTTTCCATTGTCTGCTGACCCCTCCTCCAATCTATATTTTCTGCATCCTCTTCATTTCTCTTTTTAGTTACCTCAATGAAAACGTTATTTGAATGTGAAAAAAACAAACTGAGGTAATACGACCATTTAAAAGATTTCCAGATTAAAACAAACATCTGCTGGCTATAGTGGACATGAAAATTATTAATTACACGCAAGGATTCCACATTTGGACATCTCTCTGGTCAGTCACAAGGTTTCTCAGGGAGAAAAAAAAAAGAAAAGAAAAAAAAAAAAAATACCTCAAAGGGTTGCCATATCTAAATAAAAGAATCTCTTAGTCGAGTCCTGTCATGTGATCTATATTCATGTCAAACAATGTATGACCAGAAAAATCTTTACAACAAGCATTCTGAAAGGATAAAATTTGATACAGATGAAAGCAAAAGCGGTATTAAACACAAAAACAATTATTAGGAATGCAGGCTTTGGCCAAAATGTGTTTGCATGTTTCAGATAGCCTTTTACCAAAAAACATATTTTGAAAGACTTATCAGACTCCAGTTGTCTCTTCAAAACTGTATGATACTTTATATACCAGGGCTTGAAATTTCCACTCGCCTGCTCGCCAATGGCGTGTGGAAATTAAGGTGGGGGAGATTGTGTCCCCCACGGCCATCTTGCTGAGCAGGCTCGGAGCTCAGGCTGGATCTGTCATTGACACTGGGAGCTGTCAGACTGCTCAATAGCTGAGCGCAGTGTGTGCTGTGCTCTCTGCCTCCCCCTAGAGTGTAGTACCCGGATCTGTGAGTGAACAACGAAGTACTGCAACTTTTTATGGGTGTGTGTGTGTGTGTTTGTATATACATGTACAATTGTACATGTGTCTGTGTGTATCTGTACATGTGTCTGCGTGTATGTACGTGTGAGTGTATGTGTGTGTGCGTGCATGTACGTGTGTGTGTGTGTTTGTGTATCTGTACGTACATGTGTCTGTGTGTACATGTGTCAGTGTATGTACATGTGTCTGTGATTGTGTATTTCTGTGTATGTATGCTTGTCTGTACGTGCCTGTGTGTGTATACATGTGTCTGTGTGTGTGTACACATGTGTCTCTGTGTGCGTGTGTGTACATGTCTGTGTGTGTGTACAGGTGTCTCTGTTTATATGTGTTTGTTGGTGGCGAGTAACTCTAAGGCCTGGCTAGTAGCTCAGGACTTGAAATTTTAAGCCCTGTAAATATATACAGTATTTATAATTACTGCTATAGGGAATCCCTCACACAAATATTGAAAGAACAGATACAAAATAAATATAGAAATAGATAAAATTAAGATAAGTGATTTACCTTTAAGTGTGGCTTTCTTTAATACTTTCATTGCATATAGCTGGCCAGCATCGGTTCCTGAGATTTTTCGCACCAAAAAGACCTGTGTAAGCAAATGATACTGTGGTTATTAAAAGTAAACAGAGAAGGGCAAAGCCTTATACCCTGATATTACATTACAAGAGCTAGAAGTCCCCAAGAAGCAAAAGCACAGACATTATGTGTATTTTATCTAATGAATCATAGAACTTTCTAAGGAAACCAATTTATTTTATGCTCACTCCACAGCAGGCAAACAAACAGGGCCATGCATCCATTGTTTAGTATATTGTCCTTATATAAGTCAGTGTATGACTGATGGTGTCATAAGTAGGTATCATCTGCCCATTCCGTAACTTTGAGATAAACGTTTAAGTGTCAAAATAAGGGATTATTATTAAAGTAACGATCTTATTACACTAAAGGGCCAGTTTACTGTCCTTCAGACTTTAAGGGGTCCGGACTGTAACTATTGGGAGTAGAATAGGTCCAGACGTTAATGGGGAGAAACCAATGACACCAACTTTGGTGTCATTGGGAGGAATTGTGCCTCATCATCGCTTGTATCAGTGGGAGGAATTGTGCCCCATTGTTGGTGGCATTGAGATGAATTGTACCCCATCCTTGGTGTTATAGGGCCCCATTGTTGGTGTCATTAGGAGGAATTGTACTTTACCTATCATTGGTGTCAGTGGTGGGAATTATGCCCCATGAAGACAAGCAGTTTCTCTTTACATTCCATATATAATATGAATTAAAATCAATATTATAAAGCTTATACATTATACATGTAAGAGACACAATCTATTGCTGAAAAAAATCCACTTAAATTTTCTATGGTCTTTTATAAAGTGCTCAGTGAGAGAAGCTTTATAATCCTTGTAATGTATTCCATCTAGTGTGTCATTCACACTACCGTCCATTGCGGTATTAACACAAGTGTCTTTGCACATTAAAGCTCTTTTGGCTGTACTTCTGTGGATCGTTCTGCATTCATGTGATCGATTTTCAACAGACAACAGGCTAACGTCTGCTGTCAGCTGACGTCACTTAGACGGTCCGGGCTGGGGAAACACTATATAGTCAGGATCCACCCAGGAGCCTGGAACAGGACCTGGCTCAGCTTCTCAGCGAGCCACTGAGAGCCTAAGCCAACAGCTCCTGCCCCCTCCACAGCCCAGCGTTCCAGTGATAGCAGAGCAGAGAGCCAGAGACTGACAGTCTCGGCTCTCTACTCAGAGCGACAGGGAGAAATGAGCGATCAGCGGTGTTTGATCGCTCCATTCTCACCCTTAGAACCGGCGGGGGATCAATGCTGCATTCACATAGGCAAGTATAATTTAATAATCCCATACTTTTCTTTTAATGCACAGGGTGCTAGTGAGCAATTTGCAATGAAATTGTGGTTCAACACACTTCTGCAACACACAAGTGTGAATGGGCCTCAACTGTATGTTAGCTGTTTGACTATCAAACTTTAATGTTAACAATTAGGCAAAGTTCTTCCTTTGCTTTCACATCTCAAAGAACATTTTAACCTTCTCATAATTTTTACTTTGGTCTTCATTTACGTCATATTTAAGTAGTACATATGTAAAAGTAGCTCTAGTCAAAATTATATTGGTTGGAGGGAGAAAGCTTAAATGAAATTTAAACCCAAAATAGTTTTCCTTAGTTTTCATTAGAAAATAGAAAGCTTAAAACGCCAGAGGTGACTTCTCCAAATGAACTTGAATAATGGTCCCAACCCTGTCCTCACTGGAAAATTTTCCCACTCTTCCTACGACAACTCAAAATTTGAATCTTCTCTTTACATTCAGTGGCTCAGTGTGGCAGCAGTTACTGGGATAGTTAGAGAGTAAATGTCCTTAGAAGGGTCAAAGCAGTAAAAACTGACTGGTGTTTTCACCCTCACACACAAAAAAAACTTTTTTTTGCTCGGGGTGGGGATTAAGTTAATGTGACCTCCATAACTGGCTGTCACATGATCTAGGTGCTGGTAAATGTACCAGGAGCGCACAGGGCGTGCCCTCTTGGCACGTTTGCTTACTTTGAGTACCCAAATATGCGCCCCCTCAGAATCAAGGCCCAGCTGCCGAGATGCTGCATATTTGCATATCGCTGGCGCCAACAGGTTAAAAGCATTAAAAACTTTTCTACCTTAATTTTGTGTTTTTAACCTGCATGAATGGGCTGATATTGCAATGAACCTGAATTACGTGTGAACTGGCTAAAGCTAAACTGTAGGCAGACTTAAAATACTACCAGTGAATGCAGTTATGTAGTTATATAAGGGCATTTTTAAATGAAACCCATGTATCTGAATCTGTCCTTACATTATCCTCTAGTATATATCCTAAACATAGCAGCACTCTAACTGTAAAATGGAAGGCCAGTACTAGGAGACAGTCAGGATCTTCAGAACCACACATGTGCTGACACAGCAGAAAGCCCAATCAGCTGGTAAAAATTGGATTTGTTGCAAATAATAATATAACACAAAGCTAGTAAACTTTCCCAGAAAAGGTGGAAAACTTATCTGGCAATAAGTGTGCTGACAGAACAGCGTGAAAGAAAAAGAACAACCTCATCAGTACGCTGCATTTTCAGTCACTGTCCAATTGGCAAACTTGGGTTTGTCCAGACACCGCCTAATATGCAATGAAGGACTCTGGCTGTGCTTGCATAACAAGGTTGTAGAGAGCTGCAAATTTACTTTGAATTGCTATTAAATTCAAATATATAGCAATTCAGATGCAAAGAAATACACATATACACAAGGCCTTAAACACTCACCTTTCCAAATGAGCCCTGTCCAAGTACCTTCAGCAGCTCAAACTGTGAAGGGTCAGCTCTCTCATGTCCCTCTTTTACATGGTGCGTGATTGCAATCTCATTTATATTTGCTTCATCCTATAAAAAGGGAAAAAATAAATAGGTTTACACTTTTGCAATAAATATATCTGACGTGTTAAAAAAATAAATAATTCCTTAGAAACTGTTTTTTGAAGTGTAAAAGTCTTGTGTCCTTTTATATTCTTTTTTAATCAGATTTTTGTGGCACAAGTACAAAAACACAAGTCAAAAAGACAGAGACAAATACATATCCTTTGGTATTCAATAAAAAGGTTACATAATTATAAAGCCTGTAAAGACAGATACATTTATGCAATCCATGCACTAAGAACAGAAACTCAAGGAACTGAGGCCACAGGTGAACTGCTCTTACACCTTAGGTGACAGGATGATATTCTGTGCCTAACCAGTGGCACCAGATACAAACAAATTTATGTGTGGCATAGTGTAAGAAGCAAGTGTGCTTCTGAAATGCTATACACATATTAGCCTCTTGTAATCAGTCTAGAGTCAGGGAGATATACCGATTCATTTGATAGCTAACATTCTCATGCGACAAGCATGAGAAAAACAAGAAACCACCAGGGATTCGTATTTATTCTAAGAAGATAAATTAAAATTACCTAAAAATGCATGTAGTGGGATCAATGTTTAAGGAGGCACCCAATATGTTGTAGAGGGCTATGATAAACCTGGACCAGTATCTTAAATTTGGAGTGTTGCCATAAGAGATGTATCAGGTCTCATTGGAGTTGGCTGCAACTGCGGCAGCAGAAGTCAGGGCATAAACCTCTATAAAAAGTGTGGTGTTCGGTATACTCTGCATGTAATTAAAAGCTACATTTGCCTACATAAGGGAGATCGCTAAAGTTTTAAAAAATAAAAATTCCCCCCATCTTCGATTCTATGGTCAGCTGGTGCGACTACCCACAGCGGTCCTGAGCTCCTCGATGGGATGGGAGAGCCCAGAAATGGCGGCGTGCAGAGAGGTGGTACACCCTACTGCTGCTTGTAAAAGTGATCCTGCTCAGCTCAATTTTTCAAGAAACTGCATCACTGGCACTAAAGAATGATAGTAGGATCATGTCTGCAGCTTCAGCCATAATCAAGATATGTCCACCACTTCCCGAGGACACACACGCCGGGAAATGTTTAAAGACAATAAAACGTATTCAGCTTCTCTATTTCTATCCTTTCAAGCTCCTTTTTTCAAATGTTCTATTTCAGGTTGAAGCATGTTAAAATGAATGCACATTACAGTTATATGGCTGGCTGAAAGACAAAAGTCCATCCAATTCAACCATTAAAAAAATAAAAAAAGTTATAATTCTATACCCACAGTTGATCCAGAGGAAGGAAAAAAAACTCAGCAAAGCATGATTCAATTTGCTCCTGCAGGGTTAGTATCCAGTTATATTATGTGTATCCAAGAAAGAATCCAGGCCTTTTTTAAAGCAATCCACTGAGCTGGCCAGAACCATCTCTTAAGGGAGTCTATTCCATATTTTCACAGCTTTCACTGTGAAGAAACCTTTCCATGTTTGGAGATTAAATTTCTTTTCCTCCAGACATAAAGAGTGCCCCCTTGTCCTCTGTGATGACCTCAGGGTGAATAACTCTACACCGAGTTCACTATATGAACAACTGATGTATTATACATGTTGATCATATCCCCCCTTAATCTCCTCTTCTTAAGAGAGAATAAATTCAGTTCCTCTAATCCATCCTTATAGCTGAGCTCCTCCATGCCTCTTATCAGTTTGGTTACCCTTCTCTGTACTTTCTCCAGTTCCCCAATGTTCTTTTTGTGAATTGGTGCCCACAGCTAAACTGCATATTCCAGATGAGGTCTTACTAATGATTTGTACAGATGTAAAATGATATCTCTCTCTCTGGAGTCTATACCTCTTTAATACAAGAGAGGATTTTGCTTGCTTTAGAAACCACAGCTTGGCATTGCATGCCATTATTAAGCTTGTGATCTACCAGAACTTCCAGATCCTTCTCTACCATTGATTCCCCCAGTTGTACTCCCCCTAGTATGTATGATACATGCATATTCTTAGCCCCCAAGTGCAGAACCTTACATTTATCAACATTAAACCTCATTTGCCACATTGTTGCCCAATTAAACAGTGCATTGAGGTCGTTGTAAGTTGAAGACATCCTGTAGGGACGTTATTCCACTGCAAAGCTTGGTGTCATCTGCAAAGACTGAAATGGTATTTCTAATCCCAGACCCTATATTGTTTATAAATATATAAAAAAGTAAGGGTCCCAACACTGAACCTTGGGGTACACCACTGACAACCCTAGACCATTCAGCGTATGAATCATTAACCACTTCTCTTTGAATATGATCTTTAAGCCAGTTTTCTTTCCATTTACATACGGATTTTTCCAAGCCCGTAGACTTTACCTTACACATTAGCCATGTGTGGGGAACTGTGTCAAATGCCTTTGCAAAATCCAAGTATACCACGTCCACTGCCACCCCTCTGTCCAAGGTTTTGCTCATCCCCTTATAAAAAGAAATCAGATTTGTTTGACAACTTTTGTCTTTCATGAATCCATGCTGTCTGTTGCTTAAAATATTTTTTTCCAGCAAGAACTCATCTATGTGGTCTTTTATTAAACTCTCCAGTATCTTCCCAACTATAGAAGTTAAACTAACAGGTCTATAATTACTTGGTAAATATTTTGACTCTTTTTAAATATTGGCACCACATTGGCCTTACGCCAATCCAGTGGTACTATGCCATTCATCAAAGAGTCCCTAAAAATTAGAAACAATGGCTTTGAAATGACAGAGCTCAATGGGTGACCCATGGGTGTATGCCATCCGGTTCAGGTGCTTTATTTACCTTTATTTGGTCTAAATATTTTTGGATCATATCAACTGTGAGCCAATGTGGATAATCTGGATCTGTGTCAATACCATGCCCATTATGGACAAGAGCTCCCCCATGCTCCTTTGTATACACAGAGCTGAAGAAGATATTTAATAATACCTTTTTACTATTAATATATTTGAAGAATTGTTTGGGGTTGATCCCACTATCTTTTGCAATCTGTTGTTCGTTTTCAATTTGTGCAACCTTGATTTCCTTTTTGCATATTCTGTTATATTCTTTGTAATGTTTAAACGATGATTGCGTTCCTTGATCTCTATATTTAATAAAAGCTCTTTTCTTATTATCTATAGCTTTTTTAACTTTGGCCATAAGCCACATAGGTTTGATTTTTAGCCTTTTAAACTTGTTGTCCATGGGAATATATTTTGCAGTGTGTTTACATACAGTCTTTTTGAAGAACTCCCATTTCTGTGTTCTGTTCATCGATGCCAATATTCCCTCCCAGTCTAAGTCTTGGAGAGCAGCTCTCAGCCTTGGAAAATTAGCTCTCTTAAAATTGAGTGTTTTTATTTTACACGTATGTGCTCGCTGTTTACAGCGAACAATAAATGAAATCATGTTATGGTAACGGCTACCCAGATGTTCTTTTATATAAATATTCGTAATAAAAACTCTGCATGGTTTGAGATTACCAGGTCCAGCAGAAAATCATTCCTAGTAGAGGCTTCTATGAACTGTACCATAAAACTGTCCTGTAGTAGGTTTGAAAAGGTTTGCCCTTTAACGGTTCCTGCAGTACCATTTCTCCCGTCAATTTCCAGGTAGTTAAAATCCCCCATTATTATCACTGTCCCAGCCCTTGCAGCCCTTTCGATCTGTGCAAGGAGCTGAGTCTCCACCTCCTCATTAACACTGGGAGGCCTATTACAAACTCCAGTGATTACCTTTGTAGTATGCATCCCCATGTGCAGTTCCACCCATAATACTTCAGCCTCATCACACTCTCCATCAATTAGGTCCTCTTTCACACTTGCTCTGAGATCACTTCTCACATAGAGGCAGACCCCACCACATTTCCTATTTGCCCCGTCTCTCCGAAAGAGAACATAGCCAGGAATATTAATGGCCCAGTCATGAAGAATGAAGCCAAGAATCAGCAATACCAATTAAATCACAGTTCTCTTCATGCACCAAAGCTTCCAACTCACTTAAATTTGCTTGGCAGACTTCTGGCATTGATGAACAAACACTTTAATTCGTTGACACCTTGTTCACATATTTTGCATATTTTTTATTTTCATACAAACTGTGCCAGTTACACTGCTTGTTTGTAACATGGGAACCTTCTTATCATTGTGCCACCTGTCATAAAACTTCATTTACTTCTGTTTACACTTTCACCGTGGGATGCACCTTTGACAAAATACTTATTTAAAAAACAAATTCACTCTCCTTTATAAATTTGCCATACTGGAAAGGATATTCAGTAAGAAAATGAACCACAATCATATGAAAATGGCTTCTCACTCAGACTATGAACTACTACCATCAGCACCATTTTTGTTTGCTACATGAATCATTAGGTGAATCATTTACAAAAAAAATAAACAAACCCACATGCACGGCTGTTTTTTTGTAGGCAGCAATTTAACTTTTCATTATCGTCATCTCTTGCATACTGCGCTGAATTCAGCCAACATTTCGCAACTCCTTGTCTAAAGTAACTTGTGTTAAGCTACATACCCAATCTTCAGGAGGCACAGCTTTCAATGCAGAGACAGCGGTTTCATTTATGTAGAAACCCTGCAGAGTACAGCTTTGACCGCTCACTGGTGCGTCATAATATTCACATTATTGGAAGAAAACATGCACTTCTGCAAGTTTCGTGTTTTATGAAAAACTGGATTTTTTTGTACTTCACCATTTATTGACAGACACAGCATATTCTACTTTATCTATAACCAAGCAGGGTTTTATAGCTACATCAGGAGTAGGAAGTCTGTGTTTACACTGTAGAACACTACAGGAGAAATCCATTCCAGAGGGGAAGGTCACCCTCTTTCTTGGAACTCTGAATTCACCTGAAGCGGTCAGCGAGTACCTCTCTGCTCTGGTGGTTGCAGTCTCCAGCTCTACGGAATGGAAGGTCCTTACTTCCCCTTCATCAAACTGTGGTCATAATAGATGCCAGCCTGCCGGACTAG